CAGAAATCCGGAGTCCAATTACGTCTTTTCCAATCTCTGAAACCTCGCATACATCGCAAACCGTTCCTTCTAAACCAGCAGTAAATGAAGCTCCACAAAATGGACATTTGCATTGAGGTTTTCCACGATATAATGGTACGAAGTTACGCGAACAAACAACAAACGGATTGTGTTCGTCGTAAGCTAGCTGAAATACAAGATGCGTCAAAGTGTCGTAGCTATCCATAATCTGAGAAGGAAGATAAGCAATTAACCTGATTAGGGTCTTTATTGTCCTGTTCGGCCGCTGCTAAAACTTTCCTAATTTGAGCAGCAACATCAGGTTTCGGGCCTGAAAAGCATTTAGTCATGTAAACATAACAATCAAATAAGAAAAACACAAACCAAGTTCTAGAAGACGTTTGCACATTGATGCACATGTCCGCATTTGTTTCAACTTAAAGAAAGCATTTATAGCCGTCCTTAGGGTGAGAATTCTGTGGATAGGTTGCAGCTCACAGTGAGTAAAGTACGCTAACATTTCCGCATTCCTCTTTAAATCGGCGGGAGAGGTTTTTGGGATCTCCTGGAAACATAAATCTACGTGAGTTCCATAGCGTACGACAACTGTACACTAATCGCGAGAAAAGAAAACAGAAAAACGGGAGAATCGAACACATACCTTTCTTGCACACTCCATCAAAAGGCCAACTAGATAATTCCTACAAATTTCGATCAATTGCTCAGCCTCAGCCACTTCCTGTTTCGAATTCACAACTAGCATAGGGACAGACAGAAGGATTTTACGAAGTTTTTCGATAGCATCAGCGAATTTCCCAGCAGTTGTCAAGTGGTAGCAATTTTGTAGTCTGGAGGCCAATTCCGAAAGCGTAACAGCAACGGCGGGTAAACCGCTCCTAGAAAAAGAAGGCTGTACATTGGATGGTCGGGTATACATTCGTGCTTCTTTTTTCAAACTCAATTTTAAGTAGAAACGAAAGTTTTGGCAATGCATTATATGTCGCTCAAGTGTGCCTGGCCTAATCAAAGAATTTGGTTTTGCTAATTCGAAAGTGATTAAAAATATACTTGCAAAAAGCAAAAAGCTCAACCGGTAGCTACACTAATTGCAAACCGGGATCCATCCTCCACAATCGAACCTTATTGCGGATTACGGTAGCTGCGCGCTAAAGGGTCGAAAATCGACCTGTCTGAAAAGTGGTCTATTGAAAGTGAAATTCTGGTCACGAAAATTATATCCATTTCCCAAGATAGATGCGATTCCGAACAATGTTATAGATCCTTCTCAAACAAATCGTTGATTTTGACCTTCCCATCATATACAAACAGTCTAGTGAGTGCTTAATATGGAATGTGAGTTCGATTTTTGTAATTGATATAACAATAAACCTTCGTAGATCATTTTTCAGACAAGTTGCAATGGCTTCTAATTTTATAGCGTATCCCTTCCATA